CCGGCCTAGATACCCCGCCTCTCAGATTTCCTGAGGGCAGAGCCCTGGGCTTTTTGTCAACTGTGTTATAAGATAGTTGGGCCCAGACGCCCAGTCCCAGGGGCCCTAACACACAGGACATTAGCCTAGAGCCTACAGTGTAGCTCTGTGGGGCAGATGCATTTCTCCCTCCCTCTTTCTCTCCTGGACCCTCCTTCCTTCTTTCATTGGTGCAGTACGCAGAAGAAAAGAGGTGATTGTTTGGAGACAAGAGGGATGAATTTGTCTGCCTCAGACGGGAGAAGAAAAGCAGTTTGAAAGAGACTTGTCAGTGGTTGTGGATCAGGTGGTTGGAGGGTGTCCCACTTTTCAGAGAGAATGCACCGTGTGTCAGCATGTTCTACCTTTTCTGCAGAGCCCGGTCTACATCCACTGTGTGTGTGCCTGTATAGTGTGTGCACTTGTGTTGGAGTGTGCACATCTGGGGTTGGAGTGTGTGTCTCTGGTGTGTGTCCCATGCTCCAGCATATTTGCATGGACACATGCCCAGTTCAACTGTTTAATTTAAGTCCTTCTCCTCTTGTTTTGTTTTGTTCCTGCTTATGGCAGTTTGTAGAATAATGATATCTCCTCCTGTAAAGTGTTTAATAACTGTGGTTATCTGGGTGGAAACCAGAACCCTGCTGCACATCTCCATATCCACACTCACACTCAAGAGTGTGTCAGTGGGTCTTTTTGAAAGTTATGCCACTGAGATGCTCATTTCTCTTTCTGTTTTTTGTGTATTTTGGTCCTCTAGAGATCACAGCAGAGACAACACTGTTCAACCCAGATCTCACTGAAGCTCGACTCAGATTGCAACAGAGCACCGAGTCCCATTGGTGCAGATCTGACATATCTCACATCCCCTGGTCTTTCAAGAGTGCAGTGTGAGACTACATCGGATGTTTATTTGTCTATTGGTTACCCAGGGGATAAGCATTTAGATTAAATGATCAGGGTCATGCAGTCATCTATGTGGTGTAAGCTCCCTGACCTATCTCCAATACAGCTTTTAAAGACAGACTGGTGTCATTATTCCAGAGTGAGGATTAGTGCAAGTTCTCTTCATTCACAGCAGAAATCTTTAGTCCTTAAAACAGTGGAAACACTTATCATACAGAAGCGCCAGTACTGCGTTAATGTGTTAATAATAACCTGTGTTAATAATACTAATATTTATGCACCGTTAACTGCTAGAAATGGATATTATACTGTATATACACCATTCTGCAGCCATTATAAAGTTGTACTCCACACTACATCAGCATCAGTGTTTTTGCAGACTCTAGTGGGGACAACAGTCTGATTGGTTGTATCATCGGTTCTTAAAATATGCTGTACGCTTACAGTGGACTGTCACTGAGACCGTTATTGTTATTGAGAGCAGGATTTAAATTGTGCGACAACTGAAGCGTCCTGAAGCCCTCATAACAGCTAAGAAGCCCCATCAAGTTATGATAAAATAATTTAAATCAGCCATGATAACATGTCCAAGCTATTATTATCAATGCTCCTTTTTTTTTTTTCTCACAGAATAGTCAACATACATTTGTCATCTTATTTCCTCACACTTCATTCCCTGAAATTCCCTCATTGTTGCTTGTGCTAAACAGTTTGAAGCATATCTGATATTTTAAAGACAGATTTTAGGCTCTTCAATCGCATTTACAGTTGATTGAGAATATTTTCAAACACTGAAGAAAAATATTACTAATATTACTTTTTACTCATTATAATTTGAGAGATTATCATCTGAATGCAAATATACATAACTCATGGTAACCGTCCCTACAAGTTTGAAAAACAGATGTTTTTGAAAACAGATTTCAAATTGTTTAGGTAACGATTTATTGGGTAAGCCTGTGTATCTTGCAGCTCTCCTCTGTGTGACAGGAAACACTAAAGGAATGCCAAATGTGTTACACCACCAACCTCCCGTAACATAACGCCAACACGGGTTTCTCTGCATTAAAATTGATGTATGACATTTTCATACTCTTAACAGAACAAGATCTTTATTACACAACCATCAACAGGAAATAATTTGTTAATCAAAACAGGGACATGGCAACACATTTACATGTCAACTTGACTGTCCGCCAAAATTACTGTGATTATAGGGGTTACAGTGGGATCTCTGTAATATGAACAACTTCCAGGATCACACTGACATTTTTTTCAGAAATTTTCAGGGACTGTTTTTCTGCTGTAATTTTAGTTTTTCTTTTTGTTTTGTTTTGTTTTTTACAGCTGAGACCAGCCAGAAAATCTGTAATAGTGATAAAATATCATAATATATCTGAATTTGTCTGTAATCATAATCTCACTGCTTCTTGCCTTTGAGTTTGTTAAAAGCTCTTTGGCGTACGTGTACATGACCTTAACTCTCGCATCCGAGGATCCAGATGTAATGAGGATGAGTTGTTTTCTCCCACTTCTGGTAGACATCGTCTCCCTTCATCATTATTGGGGCTCTGAACTCCTTTCATCTCCTCTATCACCATCTCTCTGCTGACTCACTCCTCTGAAGTCCATTCAGACCATGTTTTTGATTCCATTAATTGAGTTGGAAAAACAAACGGTCAAAGGACGGGGGGTGTACTTGTGCAAAGGTGGGAGCTGTAAATCTCGCTTGTGATCTGATTTAGGATGCCCACCCAGTCCCCAAACCCTTCCTCCGCTGAGGTCTTAGGAGACATTCACCTCGCAAAGCGACTCTTAACAACTCGACTGCTTTTTATCTCCTCTTTATGGGAAGTCTTGATCTTTCACTGTGTCATATTTTCGGGGAGGAGGTGACATTTTAAAAGGGCTTGTGAGTAAGTCTGTGGGAGGGTCTGGAAGAATGACAGAATAAGTGCTTCCAGGGTGAGAGGTCAGCGAAGTCTTGAGAGGAGGCTGCAGGCTGCACTTGGGTTGACCCTTAACTGTTTGTCATGCCAAGGCTCACTGCTGTAGCCAGGGGCCAGACGCATCCTTTAGCTTTCTGAGGAACTCAAAGACAAACACTTGAATCTGTGTCAGAGACTGTTCGTTTTTTCCTGTTTACAACACTGCTGATCATTTTCCAAATTAGCTTATCCTGAAGAAGACAGTTTGAAAATCTTTAATCTTTATCTGCTAAGAAAATCATCCATCTGAAGCTTGAGGTTCAAGTCGTTGTAAAATGGATTGTTCTAAATATAGAGCTACGACAGAATCTGAGTAACGGCTTTAAAAGGGAGAAAAACATACTAAAAATCTAAAATTCATGTGGTAGTGGTGTAACATTTACATAATTTGTATCAACAAGTTAAATAGTGTAAAGGGGAAAAAAAGCCCTTATGGTCATTTAAGAAACCTCTTATGTCACTGTTGGATTAGCCTCATCCAACAGACTGACAATGAGAAGGTCTATTTCATAAGAGTATTATCCAATGGGCAGATGCAACTGGTTAAGTAACTGTGGGAACATATGGCTCAACCTGCTCAATTTCTGTCAACAGCACTAATCTCCACCGCCCGGTGAAGTAACCGGCTTGTTAGAAAGTGGGAGCTCATGTCAGTGAGAGGGGTTACTTAAATACGCTGATACTATACACATTTGAGATCTATTGCAAAGACTGCTCTGAAAGGGAAGGAGATGGTCAACTTATTACGCAGCCAAGGATGTCGATAGATTGTGTGTGTGTGTGTGTGTGTGTGTGTGTGTAATAAAAGCACCAAGACGTCCTACATTTTTGATTGTTTTATAAATATTACTCTCTTCAAAGCTGTTTTTGACAGGGGGATAACTTGATCCATGACAAATTTGTCTTAAAGTCTAAATTTGTCTGTTGTCTTTTACTTTTTTCTTAAAGCTCTAATAACTGATTTTTTGCCCGGTTGGGGGCAAACCAAAATTATTAACCAAATTAGTAACCAAATTACCTGTAAACACAACATTGATATATTATCATCTTTTAAGCAGAGAGGGAGCAACATTAGCATTCATTTGGAGTCGTGTTCCTGTCCACTTGATGAATATACATCCAATATTCACTCCATTTTACCTCTGTTTTGGTCTCTACCAGCTCCTGAGAGAAATATGTGGCTCTTTAGCAGTTAAATGCTCCAATTTGATCACCACCCGGTCACCAACTTTGTCTGTCTGCCGTTTGGTGTTGGGCAGGTAGTGTACAGTCGAATTTTAGAGGATTTTAAAGAGCGATGAGACTAAAGTTGTGGCACACAAACCTGAAACAATGAACACCCTGGGGCTGAGGCGAAACCACAGAGTCAAGTGAAAACGTTCTGTGCGCTCTTCACTATGAGTGGCCCCTATCAAATACAAGTAGTCATGTGATCCATTGTTAATATAAAAATACTCATTCTAGCTGCTTTAAGTTTGTAGGATCCTACCAAGAGGGAAATAAGTTTTCTCAGGCATCACTGCTCGGATTATATGTTTTTTTATTATCAACATGATGCAATGGCCACCAGATGTTCAGCTTTTCTTTTTTTTTGACAGGTAGCAAAGAGTAAGCTTGTGCTTTCTGACTCTGGCAGGATGGTAGAGGCGTCAGATGAATATAACACAGATCAGTAGTAGAGAGATGCAGAGATGTTCTCCACATGGTGACATTAGCGTCGGCTGTGGAGCAACATATGAAGATGAAATGGTTCACACACAAAAAAAAAACTCTTAATCTGTCGCTCCAGAGACAAACAGGGAGGCAGAAAAGGATACAGAGCATCTGATGCACAAACACTTAACACAAGATAGTTATTATATTAGTACAAAGAATCAAATAATAATTACTGTAGCTTCGATTTGTGTTAAATGAACTTGTAATAAGGCCTTCACAAAGGTTATTTGTCTCTGTAAGATATATACGGTCGCCTCTTGTGTTTCTCAAATAAAACATTGTACTACGGCACAATAATCAATATGAACCACTGTATCTGTTCTCTTGTCAGAGACTTACATATCTGATATTGAATAGACGGAGCAGATTGGATAATGAACTTGATCTCTTTATTTCTTACCAGTATAAATGTTGACCAGCTCAGAGAAAGCGCTTCAGCTAAAAATATATTCATAACTGGGATAACAGTATCCATATTATGATTCAGGTGATATAATCAAAGAAAAAAGGCAGTGAAAATAAATTATCTGAATAACAATAATAACAATAATAATTATAATAACAATAATTATAATAAACAGTGTCAAATTAGGATTCATAAACCTTTTTGTTTGCTTGTTTTTTTTTGTGAAAATTCCATTTAAAATTGTCCATGAGCAAAAAATCCAGCATATTTTCATTTAATGTTGTGAACACATTTACAATATTCACAGTTATATAAACCTGTTCGGCACATACTGAACCACACTGCAGACAGTCAGGGCGTCAGTGGGGACTGTTGGAGGAAAACTATGAGGTGTGATGACATTTTTGTGTTTACATGTGTTCCTGGCTGACAGGAAGCAGAATCTTCCTCCATCAAAATGGGTACCTATAGATAAGGAGTAAAACGGTCCTCTCTTCCCACGATACATCTTTTCCCTGACATACCACAGGCGTAATCAATCAAGACACAATCAAGAAGAAGACACACAAACTGCATGTCCGTAACATTGTACACACTGTCCTCTAGTGAGACCATCATCCCCCTTCATGAGACCATCTCAGGTTCTTGAAGTAGCTCTATGCTAACCCCTCTCTCTTCGCCCTCTCAGCCCATGGCCGTCACCATGTTAGAGTGGTGCGGGTGGCCGAATGACGGGTGTATTGGGGTGGGCGTGGGGAGCATGTGTCCAGCGTGGCTGAAAGGCGGCAAATGGCCCATGGACATGTGTCCGGCCAGAGAGGCGGCGCTGAAGGGAGAGCTCTTGTCGTGCAGGCTTTTGGAATACTCCTCATAGCTGTCGCTGCCTCGCTTGCTCTTTTTGGATTTGTTGGACATTTTCCGGTTGCGTGTCTGTATTCCCTCCTTTTTCATGGTCAGAGGCCGGTTCACCTGTGTACAGAGGGAGAAGCGAGGAGGTGAATGATGTGATTAAACTTGGAGGTAGAGTTCAAACCCACAATTTATGAATTTTATGAACTTGTAATCAAATGATTAACTGAGTTTGTTTTGTTAAGTTTACAGTACTTTTTTTTGTTTTGTATTTTTGTTATTGTCAGCAAACCCCATGAATAGACCAAACCACATTCATCCATCCCCCAATATCCTACTTCCCCGTCCTGTCTGTGGCACCCAGCCCCAAGCCCACTGGTTCCTACTGAGGATGTAAATCTTTAAAAACAGGTCACAGTTTAATTTAAAAAAAAAAAAAAGGCCTCAGTAATTTCCCCAAACAGCTGGGCACTGTAGTTACTGTAGTTTTGAGCAAATGTTACTCAAATAGGAGTTGATAGTGTATTTATTGGCTATTCTCGGCTGCGGGTTAATACACATTTGAGTATTTACAGCAGCAGGCCAGTGAGTGTGAAATTGACTTAAAATAAACTACAGTACCCATGTTTATCATAGTGAAGGAGCATGTCACCCTGTGCAACTTAATGTTGTTTTAATGGTTTTGGACAACAGTGTAGGTCTGTTGCACAGGGGCTGTATAACAGAACCTTCATAATAAGGGGGAAAAAAAGCCATGACAGATGAATAGTTTCTAAGTCAATGTTCCTATCCTAACTTAAGATAGGAAAAGTGTATTACAGATTCCAAAATCTTAAATAAACTCTCCTAACTTTGGGATAACCGTTAATCTGTCCTGACTGTCACTTTTCCACCACTTTGCTAACTTGTTTAATCCATTTCGCTGCCTTTTTATCATTAGTAGATACAGTAGATGCATGACCCTGCAGTTAGCTGAGCAGCTGTACGACCAGCTTTGGAGAGGCCGCCATGGCGACATGGGGCTCTCTCGGTTGTGGTGCAACTGACAAATGAGCAAATAGAGATTTTTCAGAGTGAAGTGGCCATTTTTGGTACGTTTCAATTACAGGTATAATAGGTTACAAAAATACCTCAGTGAGATGAGATTAGAAAAGAAATGTCAGTTGCTAGGTAACAGACATAAAAGTTGATAACTGATGTTATGAGTATTTAGGATTTCCTAACCTGAGATATGTAAATTTAGTTACGATTTGCTTCTGTGATACCAAATTGGGAAAAATCTAATCTTATCCTCTTTCTATCTAAACATAAGACTTAAGATAGGACGTTTCTGTGACATGACCCCAGAGAAATTGGACTTTGACTACTACAAGAACACGTTATAGTAGGAATTAATTCATTGCTGGTTTTGACCTTTTCGTGGGAATTTTTGACTATAAGAAAAATATACAGTATCATTACAATATACAATATTTTGATGAATCCAGCCTTAACTCATATGGAGACTGGCCTTGTGGCAGTCCCACTCAACAACAGTCTCACCATTGTGACTCTCAGGGGATTACGCCTACCATGGAAACAATAAAGCACAAAGAAAGAAAAAACCAACGAGTCCGAGGGTCTGAGAGTAAAACAAGCCTCATTCTCTCCTTCCCCTCTCGCTCTCTCTTTTCTGCCTCTTATCCCTCAACAATCAGTCTAACCTGCCTGCCTACTTCCTGTCTACTTGACCTCGCTGACTTTTGCACAGGCCCAGTGTTGGCGACCAGCGGTCAGAGACTTACGTTATGCAGCTTATAGTAGAGGCCGCAGGCGTTGCACACGGGGTCTCCATTTGCATTGCGCCGCCACAGTGTGGTGGTGGTCGTCTGACAGTTAGCACAACAGGTGCCTGCTCGTCTGGCTGCAGACTGTGGAAAAATATAGACTGAGTTTTAATGAGAGCAAACACAGCAAAGGCCAGTTCAAGAACACATTTAAATAGTGGAACTTTCTATTCTTTTGAATAGACACGTTTTATGACATTAGGGCCACAACTAACAATTATTTTCATTGATGATTAATCTGCAAATTATTATCAATGAATTGTTTTACCAATAAATGTTCAGTTTTGGGTTAATTCTTTCTCTATAAACCTCAGCAAAAAAGAAGCTCATCACAAGTTCCCAGAGCCCAAAACAGGTCCAGTCCAAAACAAAGAGTTTACTATTGTATCAGAGTGGGAAAATCTGACAATCATCACATTTCTATCAGTAAATCCTTGAAATTGTTGCTTTCGAAGTTACTTATAGGATTAATCAGTTGTTTCCAGTGATTTTTTTTTTGCAAATATTTACATAATCAATTTAGTGCCCTCCCCAATATTTTGACAACAGATTTTGAAATGAAAAGTTTATGAACAAGATGTCATATGGGGACATGGATTTGACTCAGTGCAGGTAATTCACATTCACACCGCTTCTTACTGAACCGGTTTAAACTGATGAGAGCAGCCCCGTCAGTCCTGATGGATTCTTCACACCTAAGTATCTCATATGCTTTAAACGAGGCTTATTTGTACAGGAAATGAATACAATAACCTGCAAGCTCTCTCCAAATGTTGTAATAATTGTATTATCTTAATAAATATAAATGAGTTGTTCAGTTCACGGTTAATAGTTTAACGATTTCCAAAGTCAAGAAAACCGTTTCTCACGTCGCCCCTGCCTGGTAGTCAGTCATCAGCTTCCATAACTTTCCCAATCCTGCTCTTTTTTCACTGTTCTGTACTTTCTCCGTCATGAACGGAGAGCTTGACCACCAGAAAATGAGGTCTGAGACTATAGTTAGGAGGCCGCGGGAGGAAGCAGGCGCTGGCCCCGCTGCTTTATCTGGACCGGTCAGATATCCGGATAGGAAACAACTGGAAGGCTGCTACCACTGAACACAAGGCGCTCCGGAGCACTGCGAGCCCCGGCCGAGCCACACGGAAACCAGGCCTGATATATGGCCGCATATGCGTTTATAGCTTCAAGACGCTGACAGAAATGCTTCTATACATTGTATGAGACAGGCTTTCTGATCAGTGCAAGTGAATAATAATGATGCTGAAACTAATCTCTACGGTTAACTCTAAATTATACTCTCAATCTTTTCAAAATAAAGTACTCTGAAGATTGGTCTCAACACTTTGCGCACCGTGAGCTTTTCTCACTAGACCCTTCTCCCCTCGCGGGCTGTGACGTTGCGCACTTTTTCTCGCGCTTTTGCATAAATTAAAATAGCTCTTCTTTGATTACATTATTATGTGCTATCAAAAATGCTTCTCTCATTCGAACAAATACTGTTTTTACATCTATTCTCTCGCTTCTGTCTCAAGCTATCGTGTCGCACTGATCCGGAGTTTCTTCAAAATTAAAAGATTTAAAATCATTTTCTCAAGTCCCGGTTTAAAAGTGTGGTAGCTAATTAGGCCTCTACTGATTTAATGAGCAGCGTCTGTTTACTCTGCAAATACTGTCTTCATTTCACAGCTGCCTCCTGCTGCAACACACTCCAAACACAACTGCTGCAGAGAGTTACATGAATGGATGAATGGATTTAGCTCTGCTATGTTTTTCTTTGAAATGATTATGAAAAATTAGGAATAACTATTTAGGGTTATTTATTACTTTAATAGTGATGAAACTGTCAAGATTGTTATGCAGTTAAATGTAAAGTTTTTGTACAGTTCTTGTTGCCTGGCTTTAAAGTATTTGACTAAAATTAGTTATCACCTTTTAAAATAACCAGGTGTTTACTGTCTAAATTTATGGTTTAATGCATGTAAACTGTGTGTGTGTGTGTGTGTGTGTGTGTGTGTGTGTGTGTGTGTGTGTGTGTGTGTGTGTGTGCGTGCAGCTGGATAAGTGTGACATGAAAGATGGGGCTGAGTGGACACCACTGATGTTTGAAGCAGTGCATGGTGGGAAATATTTGGCTTCAACCATCTCCAAATTAGCTCTCATCCTCTACACTGAGACACACCTTCCTGTCATTTGAAGCTCCAAGATATAAAATTAACAAACAACAAATTGTCACCGACAACTTGGTAATAATGCATTTTCACATAATCCAAAGGCATCTTAATGATTTGCTTAGAAACAAGTTATTTTTAAACCCCAAAAAGTAACATTTAATCCCTCAGTTTATTTGAACAATTAAACATCAACAAATTTAGAAACACATGGTTTTCACTACGCAGCAGCTCTGCTGCCCACTTGTCAAAATTAAAACAAAGCTTTCCTTAAACACTTTGCACTACAAATTTCTAAGAACTCAGTGCTGCACACAGCAGCAGCATTATGAGCCATAAAGTGTCAGCAAGGCACTGTGTTGTTTTGAGGGATGGTGCGCTGGCCCTGCTATCAATGACAGTATCAGAAGTAGCAGTAATAATGATAACAGCAACAACAGAGATAGTCCCACTCTGCGAACAGCCCGAGCTGAAGGAGCAAGAGGTGAGCGAGAAATACAATTCCTGGAAACTGATTGGGAAAATATAACTTTCCTGGCATTGTACCTCGTCTGTCCTCTCCCTCCACCTTACACTCTTTTTATTTACTACCACCTCTGCACTCACACACACACACACACGCACACACATGCATGCACACTTGTTTCAGTACCATGCTGAAGTTGCAGTGAACGGGACTCACCAGCCTGCGTTTGGGTTTGATGAGTGGTCTGTTCTGGCCATTCATCTTGTGGTACAGCCCGCAGGCGTTGCACAGGTAGTGTCCGGTGCTGTCACGTCTCCACAGGGGAGTTGAGGTGGCTCCACAGTTTACACACTCACGGCCCTCTGAAGAAAAACACACATTGACATTTATGAAACCAGTCATGACACCTTTCTGAGCTTACAGGGACCTTTGTTAAATTTGTTTATTAAATGTCGTCGCCAAACTGTAAAAATAAACCTTTATCCGCTGTTTTGACAAGAATTTATTTGTTCCTATACTTTTATGGACAAATTGTGTACATGTGCATGTGAGTGGGCACGTCAGATTTCTGTGGCCAGGCTGTTTTCTGTTTGAGCTTCTCAATCAGTTTTAGCTCAGCAATATATTTCCACAAGCAACACCTTCAGTCATAGCCCAAAGCACATACTGTATTTAACTTTTTTTATCCACTGACTGTGTTTGTGAGAGTAAAGAGAAAGAAACAGCGTCTACATGCTGGAAAATAAAGTGACTCTTTTATAGTTTACATTATCAGAGGCACTGAACAGCTGTAATGTGAAGAAGAATTTGCAGGGACTTCATGCGTCCACCCTCAATTTCTAATATTTGTTCACTTTTTAAAGAATATTGCCAAGATAAAACAGTCTGATGATGAAAAACATATATTTGCATATCAAGAGAGCCATTTAATCCCACTTTACAAAATAGATTAGTAGATTTTAGTTGAATGCCTTTGACCCTTCAAAGCTCACAAGGCAAGCAACCCATTAAAGAAAAAAACATTTAGATTTAGGTCAGTATTTTTAGAAAATATTTCAGTTCTTAACATGGTAACATGTCATATAACCTATAATTACATTAATGTCAGTAAAATACATTTTAGAGCCAGTTAAGATGTCAGCTCCTATTTCATGAAAAACAAGTCATTTACAGTGAGGTTAGGTTTCCCGCCGTGCTAATAAGCTGCTTAAACACAATCAGGTTTGAAGCTGGAAGTCTCCTGCTCTGTAATCAAATAACAATCAGGACAATGTATTAATGTCTTATGTAACAGAGAAGCGACTGCAGCCTAAATACTGAGGTTTTGGCTCTGTGCACCTGCAGATCTTCCTTTCACACCTCTGGGCTGGATCCAGCTCAGTGTTCTGCTGCAGCCAGATCAGGCGTAATTACAGAGTCATGGTTAACAAAAGAGGATTATCAAAGTCTCTCTGTGTTGGAGAACAGTGGAGTGCAGGCTTAGGCCTTTGAAACCATTTATTAGGGGGGAAAAATATTATTATTGTTATTATTATTTTATTATTATCATTTTTTTTTATTCTGTCCCAATTTCCAAAAGCTTGATGATGCTCAGATCACAGCACATTTGCAACAGGCGGTCTACATTTAAGATAATTTACAGAATGACTCAAAAAGAAATTAATCTGGCAACATTATTACTTTGGAATATATTAAATGGCTTTTATGGGGATGTCAATTTTAATGGTTTAATATAATAATTCAAAAGTGAAAAACAGTTTCTCATTTAGGTTTTTGTTTTTATTGGTCAAAGCTCAATGGTTTTTTTTGTTGGTTTTTTTTTTTACCTAATTCGAATTATGTTTTTTACTTGGATAATTGCATTAGCTCATGAAGAGTTGTATGAAATCAATCTTATAGAAGCAATTTGCATAACATTTATAATGGATTTTAATTGACAGTTTACTTGTGTGTTTGTGTGAATTAATTTGTAACAACAACAATAATCCTTTTACAGGAATATTAACACAGCAGTGTGTGGATTTTAACGTGGCACGTAAATACACAGCGCAAAACGATGCAACGCTGCACAAATATAGGGCCAACAGACTCAGCGTGTTACGACAGATACACAAATTTGATCTACAGTAAAGTGCCACGGGACATTTTTAAAATGTGGAGTTACTTTGTATTTGTAACCGCCTGAGACCTTTCAGTTTTAGTTTGAACACCACTGACTCAACAGGAACGAAACAGCAGATATAAATACAGCATGAGTCTTTTAATGTATTTTTTATGTCGTGTGGTTCCAGTGGACTCACCGGTGCAGGACCGTGTCTTGCCTTTGTTCTTGGGGTTGAAGCTGGGTGATGCTCCCAGAAGGCTGCCCGGGTGAAACAGACTGCTGCCGTACTCGTGTGCCGCTGGGAGCGAGTAGGTGGGATATGTTGGTATGGGATGGTGGGTGGAGGGGGTGTGAGCGCTCATGGAGGCCAAGCTGCTCCTCAGCGGACTGGATCCCTCCATCTTCATGCCCTCCGTTAACGACACTTGGTATTTGATAGATTCCTTCTCGTCCATTCTGGTGCCGGAGGACGAGGGAGACGCGGCCCCCGGGTCCGGCGATACGTCCTTTGGTGGTGTCGGGGGGAAAGTGTACAGATGCGGGCTCGAGTGGGACGGCGGCGTTAACGACGGTGCGGAGACCGTGTTTGAGTTGCTGCTGCACGGGTAGACGGCAGAGAGGCCGCCGGGGGACGCGGAGCCGGGGTGGTGCAGGCTGGGTTTGCTGAAGGGACTGACGGCCCAGGCGTTGTGGTGGTGGTGAGCTGAGAGGGCTGCTTTCCCCCCGTCCAGCCATGAAATCCCCGGGCTGTGGATGAGATGAGGCCGGCAGACCTGAGTCCCCGTCAGACGAGCTGAGAAATAACCAAACAGCAGAGTAATTTATTATAGAGAAGATGACAGGCTGACTCATCGCGTAGCCTAGTGGTGTTTTCTATGACATTCAAGTTCGGTAAATAATTATAAGACTTGTTGATTCACTGGATACACTGCTCTGACAGAAACATGTAAATAAAGTAGCCAAAATACACCTATTAAATCAGTGTTTCCTGCACTAAAATGTGAATTTAAATACACTCAGTTCGAAGTTGCATTAACTATTTTAATCTGAATGTGTTTCGGTGAATGTCTGATATAAAATACAAAATCATCAAAGAACAGACAGAAGACTCACATTTTAATCCACACGTTAAACTCTGAAACAGAAAACTGTCATGTTTTATATAAAAGAAAATTGAATAGAAAAATATGATTTGCCTGTTATTATAAGGCAAATATCAATTAAAGCATGAAGGTGATTGTTTTCAGAAAATAACCGCCTCTAGTTTTGTTTTGCAACTCAACCTACTTTTCACATGTAGCCATGTTGTGAGTTTCTACCTAAGCCTACATCTAATTTTTTGTTGTTGTTAAAGTTGCCTCCCTGTGTTCCAGCTCCATCTTACCGTGCGCTTGGCTGTAGGACACTCTGGCCCTGGTGGAGTTGTGGTAGTACGGGTTTCCCTGTGAGTCCAGGTGATTAAAGAAAACATCCACCTCATCGGGAGGCAGGAGCTGCGCCGTGGGCTCCATGTAGTTGTGCCCCAGGCCGGGGTGGTGAGAGTCCGGGTGTTGTCCGTTCAGCACGGCGTGGTGATGCATCCAGCGAGGCTGATCAGCCGTCACATCCATCTCTATGGCTCTCTGTCGCGCGGTTTATAGAGCCAGAGAATATCCAGAGGGAGGACACAGGGTGGTTCAAAATGTGTCCTTTACGAGATCTTCACTGTGTCCATTTACAGTAGAGAACTAATGCTTTGTTTTTGTTCCTCTGAGTTTAATTCCTCTCTTCTCCAGGACATCGAGTCGAGTTTGACACTGGAAACCTGCAACAAGCAAACATCAGATGTTAATATTTTAAAGGCAGGGGTGTTGTGCAGCCTGGTGTCTGTTTGTAAGCATCGCTTCTCTAAACGGAGAGCTTGTACACTCTACTTAAGTTGCATGCAGAGATGCAACTTAAGATAATGACAAAAAAAATCATCTCCACCCACAACATTTACTGCCACATCACTCTTCACAGGCTGCTACTCATCCACAGCCCGTTACGCCTTTACACTAATAACAGTCTAACAGTTTAACTCAGTGACAACAGGACAAACGTGCTGTACCTTGATATTGTTATTTTATCCACGGCGTCCGATCAGCTCACGCCTCTTTGGAAGACTGTCCCCTGTCCCTGGTCGCTGCTGCAGAATCTCCCCACGTTTCCTTTGCTGTTTGTCAGAGTAAACTCCGTCCACTGGGACTTTAACCAACATGTATAACTGGCTGACAGCGCGGGGCGAAGCTTGTCAAGCTTAGGGGCGGAGTCTCCAATAAAGCTTTGACTCAGCCAATTGCACACCACCTCTGCAAAACCTCAGAGGCGGTACCCCTACCACCACCACCACCACCTCCTCCACCACCATCACCAGAACATCACTGAAATATTTGTATAGTGTTAATGTAGAGAGACGTAGTCTGGCTGCCTGGGCCAGGCCTATATTATTATGACTGTATGGGATTTAATGTTTCATCACCAGTCCAGGAAAATAATATCAATCTAAATGCATCAGTCTGTTGTGTGACTGTTTTTTATAAGGGTCCATTGTGGTTGTGGCTATGAACAATTCATGATCAATGATCTGGTAGAAATGTAATGTTAAATTAAACAGAATTCAAAGTGTCACTGACACATGTAAACACCACCACCAGAGGTGTGTCTAGAACTCTGTTTATATTTTTCACGTCTTGCTGCATCTTTTTGGTATAGGCCTGTTTATCTCAAACTCTATGGAGACAATTGTACATGAACTGCACAACTCAGGCGTTTCTAACACTCCAGTTTGCTTTAAGGACATTCATATCGGTGAGGTAAATGTGAAATAGTATCTTTAAGATGTGCTGTAATTTACCCTAAATGCTCCCAAAAAGCCCGCTCAAAATGTGAGAGTTTTAATCTGCACATGATGAACTTCAGCAAACAGTTATAGGTCAAGATGGATTTGCCACTGATGATGTGTTTTCTACAGGGTTCATTGTTTTATATGTAAATGAGGAACAAAGGTCTTTTCGTGTTGCATATGTCTTCGTAAGTGAAGTGTTAGTTAATGCTCATTTTTGTCTTCATCCCTTTTTTAATGTTGGTCGTGTAATGGCTAAAAGTCTAGGGTACGTTATCTCTCTCTCTCTCTCTCTCTCTCTCTCTCTCTCTCTCTCCCTCTCTCGCGCGCGCATGATTGACAGACAATAATTGGAGAGGGAGCGCGTGCAGCCCCGGCCGGCCGGCACTGCCGCCTGCTTGACGCCATTTCCTGACGTCAGTGCATCTTAGAGAAGAAAAAAAAAACTGATTCAGAGATTCAGGACATGAACTTTTTCTAACACGCAGTGAGAGAGGGGGGGTGGGGTGGGGGTGCCTGGAGTCTGCTACAGTCCCAGCGGATGAACTCGAGGAAGGACATTGCAACTGATATTTATACTGTGGCAACATTAATAATACATCAAGTACATCCTCCTGACCCTACTGTGATTTCGAAGAACAGGCCAACTGCATGGCAAAGTATCGACAAGGTGGACCACAGAGATGAAGTGAGATTAGATTAGATTAGATTAGATTAGATTAGATTAGATTAGATTAGATTAGATTTAATGTCCTCAATGAGGAAATTCTTTTTGCAAAAACACACCCACCAGCAGAAGTTTCGTTTGCTCATATTGCAGTGAGCTGGTTAAAAGTGTTGCCATAAAGCAGCTCGGTTTACAGTTAATTCACCCTGTCAATAAACAAAATAAGAAAACTAGGAATTTGGGGCTTTCTGTTCTCCGTCTAATGGCGAAGTCACTGGCACTGCAACAGCCATAAATCGGCTGTTGACTTCCAGTAGTAGGCCTATAGCCTACTATTTCACATTAGCATACGTTACGTGGTCAACAATGAGTTGCCCTATTGAGGCAAACATTCATGACACACACACAAACACACATGAATCTGATTGAAATTCGCTCATTTATTCTCTTTAATTACAGCAAGTTGCAAGTTTTTCTTTCTGTGTTCAGAAGTGAGAGTTTCTGCTCTGCAGGTTATGAAGTTGCAGCAGCGGCTCATTCTGCTGAAACAAATGCTGTGCAACTACCACTGATTCATCCTCTTTTTCTCATGGTGTGTAGTCCTACTGTAGCCTACCTGGATGACCAGACAGGAAAAAAAAACATTAAGGAGCCACATGACAGAGTTGAACGAGAAAGCTTCCAGAAAGAAGTTTGATCATCAAACCAAATACAGGAAGTACAGTGTTTGTTAGGGTGCAGGGGCTGCTCTGTGCAAAATACATTTAGACAAAGTCAACGATTCAATTAGTCTGATATCTATCTATCTATCTATCTGTCTATCTATCTATCTATCTATCTATCTATCTATCTATCTATCTATCATTGGTTTTTCAATTTGCATTTGTTGTTGTTGCAACATTTAGCAGCGTCTAAAATAATTTAATAATAGTCCTACTTCAAGTCCCCGATAAGACAAGCATCCTTAGATAGGCTAAATCTATTTTCTTTTTAGATGTAGGCCTACTATAATGTAAATGGATTTCTGTCATTATTTATACGGCGACAACAAATCTCTCCAAGCAGCATTAAAAGGAAATCTACTGTATAGATTGAAGAGAGCAGAACGTACCGGAGGGACAAGTGTTGCAGTATTAGAGCTCATCAGCATGATAATGTGGAAATACACATGCTTTGAGTGTGAGCCCTTTTGATCTGGCGTGGCGATAAAAACCTTATCGGCGGCGAACATCCACTTCCATTTTAGTTTGACATTAATTCAATCCGCCTTTTTTTTCTTCTTTTTTTACTGCTCTTTTTCTCACAGGAGCCCTGGAGAAAGAGAGAGGTCGCAGCCCGATTCAGCTCTGAGAATCTCATTATAGGACTATACGGTTGAAAAGGAAGTTGCTTTGGCTAATAATAAAGATAAATAAAAATGAAATGTCACTATAGTAACCTATAACAATTGGCCTATAATATAGACGTGTATTAGGCTGTTAGTGCTGATCTTAATCTAAAGCTCTATTAATATTATTATTATCGTTATTATTATTATTATTATTATTATTGTCGCTGTTGTAGTGTCCGAGTTTTTGTTTTTTTTCGGGGGTGGGGGGGTATTTTAATTTTTTTGATTTATTTTTAATTTTTAAAATTTTTGTAGTAGCAGTATTAGTAATAGTATTATTTTTGCTGTTTTTTTAAACACTCAAAGTAGCCGTGTTGTATCAAAAGTAAATAATCATTTCATTTTCTGCTCTAAGAGCAGGTTACATTGAGGTGCGTGTGTGTTTAGTCGCTCTCCCAGCTTGCAAGAGAGAGAGAGAGAAAGAGAAATTCAATGCTGGTAGGATCCTTGGGTCCCACTGATTATAACCCATCCCGGGGTAATTTTTCACCGGTGCTGGCTAATCTTTGTTCTTTGTGAAGATAATAAATAGCCTAATCGTTATCAGCGAGCTGCTGGAGGTGTTGGGGAGAATGGGGCTGATCGGCCCGGGAAATAGGCTCCAAAGTGCCGCGGAATAAATGCCATTTCTTATCTCTCTCTCCCAGATTATCGCCGCCTTTTCAAACTCGCACAACAAATACATCTAATGCAGGGAATGCATCATTTGCTGGACCAGATCTGTGTGAATGATTGATAGATAGATAGATAGGGGGTGGGGTGGGGTGGGGGCCACGGGGTGTGGGGGGTAGCTTGGTGTTGGCTATTATTTACAAGTTTAATGTTCTGCATGTGCAAAGCCTTTATTCGGTGTATTTAGACAGCATAAATACAGCTCGCTTTTCCATTATTTTTAGGTTATCTGCCGGAGCCATCTGAGGTTCCGGTTCTTTGTTGTGGTATCTTATTTCTTTCATGTTGGATTTTACTGGATAAGAGTTAAACAGAGACAGCCGCTTCTACCCAGGGAGAAAAATATATTTGAATAATGTTTTCATGTGTTGGAAATTTTGCAAATGGCAAATGCGAGCAATAATAAGCCACGGATATAAAATGGTCACAAACAGGCCCTGTTAGATTTACTTGATACTTGAAACTCATCGTCCAGGAGTGTGGGATTGATTTATTTTCTTATTCATTTACATAATTTCATCTTGGTTTAAATCTTACAGCACTTTATTTGGTTGTTTTATTGCATCTTGACTAATGGTGCCTCTCTAAAATAATGAAAACAGTGATTTGATTAGACATTGTTCAAAGTGTTATCATGAGCTGTATTATTATTTTATTATTATTACTATTTAATAATTTCCTCCAAACATCTAGGCTACAAACCAAATTTCAGAGAAAACAGGCAAAGAAAATTGTTATACATTTATTTTCAATTTCTGGTTTGTCCTGAATTTAGACACAAAGACATACATTGAAAAGCAAATACACTTTACAAATAAGATGAACATACTGTTTAAAAAAAAAACAGAAATCACCTTTCCCCCTTCACAAAAGCTATAGTTTCATGCCTCTTTCAAAGAATAGAATGAAATAAAGCCTGTGTCCTGTATAGGCACAAAGAATGAAGAAGAATATATTTATTGTGGTGTTAAAGCATTGCATGAGTGTGTGCATGGGGAGTGACCAGTTATGGCAGAAAAGGTATTTTTCCAATATATACAAACTGGATGCTTAATAACTTGGCAGCTGCAGCAGCCTTGGGTGCTGCTGATGGTCTCCAGGGAAACGGAGATAACAGCACACTCATTTTCCATATCTTACAGTCTATTATATTCAAGGATTAGTTCTCCTTCCCGAAAAGGTCAAACATAAAGTCAAGCCAGCCAGGAGTGCTCCTCCTCCTCCTCCTCCCTCCTCCCTCCTCCTCCTCCTCCTCCTCCCTCCTCCTCCTCCTATAGTGACAGAGCATTTCCCATTTTTTCATATTATCTAGTTAAACCACTGTGATGACCTTTGCTGACATGCTTTGATAGATGCAAACCTCCTACAGCAGACAACAAACCTCCCTGAATTTCCTTTAATATTCTCGTATGGACTTCTTCTCTTTGTGGTGAACAGTGATTTCCTTTTGTTTTATCTCCAATGCTAAGCCATTTTTTTGTGTTACACGTGTATTATCCACCTAAAATCATAGTTCCTTAACCTCTTTTATTCACTGTGACCCAAATATCGCTTTTCTTTTGACTCAAGACACAAAAACAATACCTCATCAGTGATAAGCAGGGATGTATGATGCCTTAA